TATGACAGTTTCGTCCTCTTGTCTTTTTGTTATGTGTGTGTGTGTGTGTGTGTGTGTGTGTGTGTTGTCTCTTAGTTAATAACAGTGAAAGATACACATTTTTAGCCAGACCTAATTATCTTTTCTGAACTGACAGCAACAAGGTAGGTAACAGAATACCAAGGTAATGGAAATCAGTCAGGTATTCTGTTGAGTGTCAAGAATAAAAGAGATGCGACTGACCTCACAACATAAAGCTATCATGTTGTTTAATCTATTGCAACTGTTATTTAATATTGGAATGTGGCTGATTGTGGTCTGCTGCCATCTAGGGACAAGTAATATTTTTATAGCCCAGATGGTGAAGCTGTTACTAAATTAAACCATTTATTTGTGAAAATTGTCTTGAATTATTTAGACAAAAACATTGATCATCACTTTAGAAATTTGAATGAAAAACAAAGGAACCCACTGTTTAGTAGTTCGGTTGCCAATTGTATGTATTACCAAATGATTTTTGTTTGATCCGTTTAGAATTACATGTCCCTCTTTCTATGCATTCTTACTATTCAAATGTCATCAAAGATAGTTCATTGATGACCATGATGATACATTAGTTGGATTTGATCTTGTCAATATCTCTATCCATTCTGCATATCCAAAGAGTGTAAGGAAATATAAATTTAGAGAAAATTAAAAAAAAGTTATGATTAGGTGTATTAGTCTGAAATGAAGAACAAGTCCCCCATATCATTTTCTTTAGGCTGTATTGATAATATTAATGCATATAAAGAAAGTGATTGTCTGCCTTTAGACAGACACAACAAACACTGAATCAGTAAATATGCTTCATTAAAATACCTTGATTCCAAATATAAAACACAAAAATCCAAGGAAACGCAAAATAATTATTTATTTAATCAAAAAAAGTCAGTATTCGAAATGATGCTAATATTAAGAGATTTTTCATGCCTGGTGGACTGATTTAAATGCATTATTATAACGATTTTGAATACATCATACAGAGTTGAGCTTTTCATAGCAAGAGAGACTGACAAGGAATAATGCATTATTAAAATATTACAGCAATGTGAGAGCCAAGATGGACAGGCGTGTTATTACTTTTATATCCTTTTTGTACCATGGTTACAACAAGAAAAATGACATGTCACTCCAGACAATATACCCAACCTCACAGTGCACAATCTGTAGACACAATATAATTTTTTTTTTTTTAATTATTTTTATTACAAATGTAAAATGTAATACTTTTTGTTTAAGTTTTAACAGCATTCATGAAACAGCGAACATCATAAATATCATACATAAATATATAAAATTGATATATAAATATAGCAAATCATGTGACAACTTGGCCTTATTAAAATGTGGCAAATTGCTCTGATCTGACATTTATGAAAAATAACCTTGCCCTGAGAGCAAAGTTAAACATTTTGGTTGCAGATCCACCTTCACTATAGAGTCCGCTTTTCCATGAACGTGTGCTAATAGTAAGCTTGTATTTTATTTATTTATTTTTATTTTAAATTTTATTTTATTATTATAATTTTTTTCCTCAGGTAATTTCTTCCTTGCAGTTACGCTGTTTGCCTTTGAACGTCGCTGTATTACCAATCTTGGCGGTTTCGAACTCCTCGGCTCCCTTACATTGGCATTGTGGGTAAAGTAGTGCAGCGAATATTGCGACACCTTGCAACTTATTCTTTTTAAATAGACAAAGAACTACAATTACAGTGAGGCGCGAGGAACAAGTTTAGTAACAGTGCCTTATCTTAAAGCAACAACCAAGGTTGAGAGAGGTTGGGGGCAGGTGATTGAAGAATTAATGGATGAGAGGAATTTGATCTGTCTGAACAGTGTTGGGGAAAGTTACTTTTAAAAGTAATGCATTACAATATTGCGTTACTCCATAAAAAGTAACTAATTACGGTACTTCGTTACTTTTTGTGGAAAGTAATGCGTTGCGTTACTTTTGCGTTACTTTTTAAATCTGGACAGGGCTTGCTTGCTTGT